AGATATCTTTTGTATCCAAAAAATTGGAAGATTCCTACAAATCATATAAGTGCCATTTAACGTAAATTTTTTTTAAAATGTGACATGTTAAAAATTAATTTTTTTAAATTGTAAAATATATAAAATAATAGTACAGTTAAACAAGCTGCAATTTTTTGGAGAATTTTTTATGCTATTTTAATATACGTTTGACGTTTGAATAATATCTGTCAAAAAAATCTATGTTTAATGAACGTCCTGAAGGGACATTCACTGGCATGTCATACTACCCTATTGAAGAAAGCTATACTACAGGATGATTTTTCTTAATTTTCAATGAACAATTAGATTTTGGGTATTAAATATGGACTAGAAATAAGTGTGGGATCGTATCTGATACATGTGAGCGTGGTGTTACAGATGCAATCAGCGCAGGCAGTAGTTGTTTTGAAACCATCGGGGGATTCGATGAAAGCGCAGTCTTGTACTGACCAGCCGGTAAATCATTCTCATTGTATTGTGCCATAACATATTTTTTTATAATCGTCAACTCATTAAAAATTAATTGAAACACCCAATCAACGAAGGTATACTCATTTCCACGATAATTGCACCACCTATGTTCACAATGTTGTTTTATGCAAGGTATTTTTATATTTAGAATTATATTATTTGCTATGTAATTTTAAAGAAGTATAACTTCATTTTTAGATACCCAGGCATCTACTGTCCACTGGTTTTTTTTGTTCATATTAGCAAGTTTACTGTACGGATGTTCTTAGATTTACGTTATTTTTAGTAAATTATGTGTTGAGGGGACGTTTAGCAGCATATTATTATTTGTTGACAGCAAATAATATTTCAGTACATGTGGTGTTATCTATGTATGTAGGTTTTTACAGGGGAATATAGGAATATATATATATATATACATACATACCCTCACATGTATTAGTAAGTGAAAGTCTGTCCCAGTGTGTGATCTGCCAGTTGGACGGACGTACACCTATTTTACTTGTACGCTGTATAAGCTTAGGCTTCATAAATTAAAGTCTCTCTTGCTGGTAATACATTTTTTTGTGTGTTCATAACTCCTTCTCTCCCTTTCTTCTACTACATCTCTATCGGTAACTTATATCAAAACTATACATAGCTTATTTGTATAGAGCTTCAGTGGGAGATATAGGTCTTACTCATTATATTTTAATTTGCATTCAATGAAAGTAATGAAGTTTTTGCTTCACTTTAAATACAATTAATAAATGAACACGATTTACATTTTTTTTTTTTTTCATTTCAGTGGCACCAACAGGAGATCACGTCATTTCACTGGTTGATGAAATATCGTTCACATTCCCTCCTTCACCACCTTTATCGCAAATTGATGATATTCCTCCAGAACAGTTTTGTAACGGAGACAACAGACCTGCAGATTGTGGAGCTAATTGCATGTGCACTCATAAAGTCGATATACCGCATAACGCTATTGTAGAAGTAGTTTTAGTTGATGAAGGTAAGAAAAAGTTCTTTAGATAATATTATAAAATAGAAAGTAGTAAATGAAAATGTTTCTATGTTTTTTACTGACTCTTATATCGTGCTCATAAGTTAAAATTTATTTCAAAAATAAGTGACAGTTAGGAGCACGTTTTGAACTAATTAATAGTGCGCACTGTTTTAAAACATGCATTCAGTACGTTTTGTGCATAGGTTTCAAAGATAACTAGTCATTAGCTGCGTGGCTAATTTACTGGCTGACGTTTATACGAGACGAGCAAAATCATATGAGTTATAGCTTCCTTTTTTGTCATGGTGTGTAAGCTTTTTTTTACATACCTACGATTTGATGTGGCTATTCAAAATATCATAATACTTTCAACATAACCATAATATGAAGAGGTCTCTTAGCAAGTTATCGCTAGTTTTGCATGGTTAGTACTTTGATGCCTGACCTCCAGTTTTTAAGCCTACCAAATTCTGTGACCGTCTTCTTCAGGGAATCATGGTAGGTGTGTGTACGAAAAAAATTTTGATGAGGGTTAAAAATTTGTTTGCGTACATGAATTATATTCCAATGCTAGATAAACTGCACTGTATCAAGTGGTGAAGCAATAGTTCAAAGTTTGGTACTACAAAAGCGAAGGTCCAAGCTAATGTAAGGACCCTTCAATTTTAACTATGCAGCGCTTTCAGAAGCTCAAAGCTTCGCCTGTAGAGTGCCAAACTCTGAGTTGGGGCTTCCCCACTCTATACAGAGTACAGTTTACCTAGCGCTAAACTGTAGTATTAACATTTTTGATACAAGCTCTACAACCGATTTACTTCGTGTACGATGTTGTTGGACTAAATTATTATAGTATGTTACTTAAGCTAAGATAAGCCAAAATCAGTAATCTATAAGTATGAAGGCTTTAGAGCTCTTGTAGTCTGATTAAATACGAGCTCTCCCCAGCAAAAATTTCTATCCATGTAATACCTATTCGGTGTTGTCTGCTAAATGTTGAGTAGCCATTCCTTGCATACTCCACCTACATGTTTAAAGTGTATCGGAGCTAATTAGGCGTTCCACAGGATTTAAATAGCTTTAATTGTGCATGATACAACAATCTGCTTATAATAAATGCATACGCTGGCGCTTATATTCTCATTTTATTTTGTAATATTGAATTAAAAAGGTGACAAAAGTATCTTGAATAAAAAATACTTGGCTTATAGTATGTTATTTATTATTTGTACAGAAGTGTATTAATGTCAGCACACGATGAGAATTATTGTAAGTGAATAGTGCTACAAGTTTTAGTGGAATACTTGTGACTATTTTATGAACCCAGCATACGATACTGAGTGCTGCTATAGCACTAAACTTGTTGAAATAAATAGCAAGCCATATTGAGCTTTCTACCATCCTTTATTTTTGGTTCGTAAAAAAAAGTTCTTAAAAACATAAAAATAAACAGTAAAAGTTATCTTAAGAAAAAGATATGTTACATCAAAATCAATCGTGTACCTTCTGGAGTATAACTAATCATATACTATCCCACACATACACCTGTAACATTCCATGTCATATACTTGATATTTGTCACTTCCAAACACAGAGTTTAGTTCGAAAATTATAAAAAGCGAAAGCTTAGAAATCTTAAACATCAAGCTGTATACCTGCTTCTGCAATTATGTGACGTACAACTTTTTTTTTTTAATAAACTACTGTCAAAAAACTTAAACTACACGTGCAACCTTCGAACAATCTTGTAAAGTGCTCATCTGAAAACATTAATTCGTATTGTTACACCCAAGAATATGAACAATCAACAATTCAAACACTTCTTACTGCGTATATCCACAAGAAACATCATACACAATTTTGACAGCAACTTGTACTTAACATAAAATCTGAGAGATTAGCAGTTTTAACCATCTATTATTGTATAATTATTGCACCACGATTATGCTTGTGTCCATCAAAAGTTATTAGGTTGTGCTCTAACTGGTCGTTCGGATTCCTCGCCTAATGTGTCCTCTTTACATGAAATAGTACAAGAATTCCTTGCACATACCAATATCTGACATTTTTCTTTCATCTAGGGCTCTAAAGTAACTATAAAAGTTGGAGAGCGGGTTCTGTTGCGTATTTTCAGCGAATGTAAGACTTCATTCAGTGACTAAGCTGCATGTTAGAAGCATGCATTTCAAGTAAACGTAAAACTTAGTTCTGTGACTAAGCTGTATGAGAAAAACTTAAGCAAACCAGGCACCTGTTAACTTGCTTAAAAAGTGAATCATCTTTGAAAACAGCAAACTAATCATCATTATCGCCATGAGTCCTCTTGTGTGAAATTAGAATCATTGTTGTATTAAACCTTTTAAGATCTTGCGACTGAATTCGTGCAAGCATTAAATAACCAATGATCATCGAAGTTAGTTGAGTTTAAAAAAACTATGAATTGTGAATACACTGCCATTGCGAACTTGGAAACCTCATTATTTATATTAGTTCTAAAAATCAATGATTTCTGACTTTAACAAATTTATTAAATTATTAGATGAGACATAAATTGGTTGTCGCTTTAATTTATTTTCCTAATTTAAGTATTACTATGTTTGAAATTATTGATAAGAACCTAGTTAAGGCTTTGATAAATAAATTAAATACCAAGCAAAAATAATTAGTACAACAAAGATCTTTACAAGGACATGAGATAAAGAGACGAATAAAATGCACTACTACTGCATTATACGAAATATAATTTCAAACAGAAGGTCAATGCCAGCCTAGTGTACAGTACACTAATACTACTGTATAGATACAAGTTGGTAAAACCTAACACCTCAACGGCGAGTCAACAATTGAAAAGAAAAGTACACTGTAAGCAAATAAGGCCTTTTGGCCAATAGCTGATTTCTGATAAACAAGAATTAAATTTATTTGTTTGTAGAGAGAATCTACGATTTTATTCCTTTACTTTGAATTTCCTACGTTAAACACCTATACACTTTAATATTTAATTATTCATCGTTTACGCCGTTTGAAATAGTTGCTTCATAAGCATGATGTTTGTGCTTACTGGGCCAATTGACATTTGTGAGATAGGAATTAGTGTATCTAGCACAATCACTGGCACACAAACATGAGTTGATCCGAATTTAGTTGAATTTAGTTTATTTTTAATTAATCCTAAGCTAGCTGAGCTCACCATGTGAGAGTTTACGAGAGCTAATGTAGTAAGCAGTACAAGCACGAATGAAAATAAGTTAGAATAGCAACTTAATTGAATAAAAAAACTTACAACTTCGTGACTTACAAATTTACGAGATAAAATCATTTAGCTAGCCCAAGCTATTTAATAAAGAGATACAAATTTTCTTAAGGTGTTTTATACAAGGAACTAGATATAACAAATAAATGATAATCATGGATCACTAGTCCTTTTTGGCTGCAACACCACCTGGGAAACGAAGTTGACTGTTTTTACTTCCACTACTCTTATTAGTCTATCGTTGCCAAAGAAAATCCTTACTGTCTGGCTCATCAGCCACTTGGAAGGTGGTTGGAGTTCATTTTTAACCAGAACAATATCATTTAACTAAAGGTTGGGGTGCTCCTTACACACGCCACCACTTAAAATTAAGTCTTCCTAATTCGATATTTTTCTTCGTATCAGGGGGTGAAATTATTGCCACACTAATGAGAAAATGGCCAGAAGTTAACGGTCTTCCTTGTTGAAACTGATCAGACTGATCGGTTGTGAGCTTAGGCAAGCTTCGATTTGTGTTATGAGAGTGCTTAGCTCCTAATATGTGAGTGTGAAACTTGCGCAACTTGATGGATGCCTCTCATAAGCCACTAAAAAGGTGGAATATCGAGGAGATGAAATACTCGACGTGCTTTCAAACAGTTTTAGCAGCAGCCTTTTAATGCATAGTGGACCCGGTTAGAAAAGAATATAAGCTGCCAAGCTCCATCGCTGATCCCAACTTATGCAACCAACATTTGTCTAAGCTTGGCAGTAAAACGGCGTGCTGACCTGACTTGGCTTGGCTACTCTAAGGTCACTGCCAGATTTCATCCACGCATGTTTACAATACGTATATGTATACTCAGCAACATTCCTGTTAGGCATGCGCAAACATTGTTTTTGAGCTGAATTTCTAGACATATTAAATAACCATGCAAATGAATTCTGGCAGTGACTTGGGAGCAGTCAAATCTAGTCAGGCCAAGTGGCACCTTGACCAGCGTGCTGTGGTACTGCCAAGCTTGGGCTTGATCACTTCGTGGTTTTAATTTCTGATCGGGGAGGTCCGATTGTCACTGTTAAGGGCTCAGCATAATCCTCGTCAAGCCGCAAATTGCCGAAAGGATGTGAGGGCTCAACTCTTTGGGGGGGTAAAGGGCCCATTAACTGATTCATCAAGGCCGATTGATGTCTAGCTTAGCACACGATGTGCCGCACAGTGTTGCACCCATGCAAAAGCTAAAATAACGTATTGATACTAGCACCTTCTGGATCCGAGGGCATTCAATACGATAAAAAAAGTTTTACTATTAAAAGCAACGCAGTTGGCAGGATTCTGAGTGGTTAGCACGTAATGCCAGATGACCAAGGGCAAAAGTGCATGAATCTTGCTAACGTGGTTGTCAGTAACAGTTTTTATCGCATTGGATGTTCTCAGAGCCAGGCAAGCATGACTCGCAAATCTATACAGCAGTAGCATTTGAAAACATGAGGAACAACTCAATTTCAGTTAACACAAAATACAGTAGTTGGGCATAACTGTGCTCCACAGAATTCTAGGTGTGGTATATTCAAAACCCTGATTGGCAAGACTCTCAATTTAAGAATCAGAAGCTTTCTCGAAGGCGTTCGACAAGCCATAGAGCTCTAGCATAGCTCCAGATGTAGTTCAAGCTACTGGAGGACGCGTATGGCCGTAAGAGTAAACAGGTCAGCTTTAAATTTCTTCCAGAGCCCAAATTTAAGTTGAGCAGTTGTTTCTAGCCAACTCCCGTGA